GGGAGGCGCTGAGATTCCGGGCCCGGCGGCCGCAGGGAGCGGGTGGCTGTTAGGAACCAGGCTGCTGACCTTCTCTCTTAGCATTTTGGGGTTTCTTTTTGTAATAGCAGCAGGTGCAACTTTTTGTATTTTAAAAACATTGATTTTTATTTTCGTGTGGGTATGTAGTGGGCGGGGGGCGTTATCCACCGAGCTGCGCTCTATTAGGGCGCCAGGCGGGCGAAGCAAAGGCAGGGATGACGGGCGGGGCGGCGGCGAAGGCGGAATGGGCGCTTTTTTCTCCCATCTGGCTTTATTTATTTATTTATTTATTTAGAGTAGAAAAGCGAGCCGGCTTGGAGGGAGTCCGCCCAGGAATCCGAGTGCGCATTGATCAGTGTCGAGAGAAAAAATAAGCTACATAAATATATATTATGTGGATAAATCTATAGACAAGAGCTCTCGCGCGCGCACTCTCTCCCTGTCTGTGTGTGTCTCTCTTTCTCTCTGTGCTTTTTTTCCTCCTTGCATCCCCAACCTGCCGGAGCAGCCCCAGATCTCCCTCCCGCCCGGCATCTACTGCCACCCGAGCCACCTGGGAGGATAGGGTTGGGGAGCATTTTGGCCGCGCCTGGGGGTGGGGGTTGCGGGGAACGGAGAGTGGAGATTGGGATCCGACCCGCTCCAGCCCGCCCCCGAAGGCGGGAGGTGGGTGTTCGCGTCCCGACGGCCTCCCCGGCCCGGGAGAGAGGCGGCTGGTCAGGCCGGCGGCTGGCGGGAGGAAGGTAGGAGCCGAGTGCCCCGGCTAGCTCTCCCGCCGGCGAGGAAGGAAGGCGCTGGGCGCGGTGGCCGGTGAGCCAGCGCGGGGGGCTGTCTTGATTTTGCTCTCTCCTGCTTTACTGATTCAAATTGAATAATTTTTAAAAATCCACCATAAAATAAATAAAACCCTCAAATCGCTATCCGGGCTGCCGCCTGACCCAGACTCGCAGGGCGCGCTCTGCCCCCGCGGGTTTCGTTTCCTGCACCTCCTGTTCCAGAGGTGCGAGGCGGGGACTCGCAAGTGCGGGAAAGAGCCTAGGGTCTGGCCGCCCCACCGGGACCCCGCGGGACTCCCCACCGGGCCCGCCCGACCTGGAACCTCTGCTGCGCCTGGGGAGAGGGAGTGGCAGGCGGGAGCCTGTCCGAGCAGCCCCGCCTCTGGGGGAGAATACTGGTGGTGAACTTGGCTGGGGTAGCCGATTTTCTTTTTCATAGTACTTATCTACACCCCACCCTTTCTCACATTTTTTTTTTTTTTCAGGACAGCCTCTTCTCCGCTTCAGAAGCCTGGTAAATTAAAATAACGCGCCCTCTATCCCGCAGGCTGCGGGGCAGGGAGCTCGGGCGGTGGGGCGGAGCTGCTGGCCTAACCCCTGTCGTCTCTCTCCCTCGGCTGGCCACTTTAGGGTGTGCAGGGTTCCTCTTTTCTTACCCTCGGATTACATTGCATTAGTAGACGATATGTTCAAAATTTTATTTCAAGAGAAACGAGACCCCAGCTGCCTGAACAAACCCAGGCCAAGCCCATTTGGTACAACCACAACGCGGAGCTCTCCAGCGCCAGAGGAGGCCGGAGGCCCGGAGGTTCGCAGCCCAGGCCAGAGCCCGCTCAGGACACCTCTCCTTGAGGATCCCGGGCCCAAACCAAAGGGCAAGTACAATTCTGAGAACTATGGAACTTCATCATTTCAGTTTAGATTCTTCTGCCTTTGCTTGGTGGAGTCGTGTGTAAGTATAGTTGATTCCTAACTTGGTTCCCTGGGCTTACTTTATTCAGTACTGTATGTTGGTCTAAGAATTGACCAAGTTGATGGAATCGAACAGAAACTCACATGTAGAGTCTCTCTGCCATGTGGTGGTGTGCTTGGTGTGCTTGTGAAGTGTCCTAATACAGTGGCTATGTCCCTGGTAAGCACTTTGTGCCTGTGGCTTGAAGGTGTGTGGCCCTATGTCTTGTCAGGATTGTGGGTGCTGATGTGTGCTTGCTTGTGTGGATGCGGCAGGCACAGACCCTCTTGTTGTTGTTGTGTGTGTACATGTGTGTACCTGCCAGGCTGATAACTGTCCAAAATATCTACTCCACCCTCATCTTGTGTTGCTTGTGCTTAGCTCCCAGGATCTCACAGCTGAGTGAAATATATATTTTTTGCCACCACAAAGAGTTAAGGAGAGTAATTCCTTCTTGAGATCTTTCTTTTCTCTCCTGACCCCTAACCCTCTAAAAGCAAGGCCTTGACAATGGGAGGGGGAAGGAGCCAGCTGAGGGCAGCTGGAAAAGAAGGGAATTGCTCAAAAGAAGAGAATTGTACAGGGGGGAGTGGCTGAGGGCCACCCTCCTCTTCCTCCTAAGACCACCTCAGCCAACCCCAGGGCCGAGTAAATTATTCACAGGTGTTTAATTATTCATATTATTATTAATAATAATAGCCAATACATAAATAAAAGCAGTCCCTGGGCAGGGATGAGTGGGGAAGTGGGCTTGTTAAAGAAAGGGGACACTGGCTATGTCAGAAGCCTTTGAAAACTCTTTCTTTCTGTGAAGTACCGGCTCCCTCCAGGACTGCTTCTGTGCTCCCAGAACTGATGCCTCTCACTGTATCTCTCCCATGTGAACCCAGAGCTGTGGAGAGAGCACCTTCTTCCCTAGGCAGAGGTTCCTCACCTGCCCCGCTCTCCCACCTAGTGATGGCTTATTACAGATTTGGGCTATGTCCCCTTGGCAGGTAACACCCCCCCCCACCTCTCAGCTCTGTGGTAGTGTGTGGTAAAAGCCCCTCACCTCCAGCTTGCTGGGGCAGAGGCAGCCAGGACACCAGGTCCTGCTGTAACTGAGCTACTCAGTGTAAACAGCAGCAGAAGCAGCTTCTGTCCAGGCATTGATCTCTTAAAGGCAAAGAGCTATATCTCTTAGGCTTCCACTTCTCCCTAGCAGAATTTTGGGGATAAAATAACACAGATGGGTGTCTTGAGCTCATGCAATGAAAGAGCAGGACCCTTGAGAAAATAGTTTGGAACATGATTAAGTTGGCTCTTTGGTACCTTTGCCCTTGATATTCTAGGAAGACTTGAGTTAAATTTTTTTAGCCTTAGATCATCAAAGAGAAATGTAATTAGGGAAAGATGGGGGCAAAGTATTACTCATGGTGACATTTAAGCAGATTTAAAACTTTTTCTCCAAGTGCCACTTCATGGCCACAATTATTCCATCCACCGAGAGAGGAAGAAGGCTGGCAAATGAGAGTGGGGGCTGGGAACAGTTGCTTCCCCTTTTCTCTCCACAGTTAGGTTTGTATTTTGATTCTGATTCATCTTTAGGGTGTCAGGATGTCCTGTGGGGGGGTCTTGAGCCAGGTAGGCTGGTTAGTCAGACCTTGCTTTGCCTTCTCCTTCCTCACTTCCCTTAGCTTCTCCTCTCCTTCCGCAAGGAGGAGGGGAGCCCTCTGTTCTCAGTTTCCCTCCAAATAAGCCACCCATCACTCATCACTCTCTTCCTTCTGGCACCCAGGGGTCCACATCCTGCAGTCCTTCTGCAGACCACACACCCTCAGACTTACCCTGGCTCTCCTGCCTGTGAATCTTCTCTCTCTACCCAGATTGTGAACTCATAGAGGGCAGAAACCAGCAATCTGGTCCCTCCTCCTCCTCCTCTGCAGCCCCTCTGGACAGTGGTGGGCACACAGTTGGTACACACAATTGAGTTTATAGATACCAATGGCTAAGCTGACTTTGGGGGGAAAGTGTGGTGTCAATACTGTATCCTTTCATATGAGCCCTAAGGATGGGACACTCCAGGGTCATAGGCTGACACTCTCCCAGAAGGAATTCAGGGTCAGGGATGAGGAATGGTAATTTAGATCACCTTGGCAGTCCAGCCTCCCGTGTCTGGAATGCTTGGCTTCTAGGCATAAGCATTCAGCCATTCTTGGGTTCATCCAGGCTTTCCAATCTCCAGAGAAAGGACAGGCCTACAAAGAACTCACTGTCTAGTTACACCAAAGTCATAACAAGTGAAAAGCCCCAGAACAGCAAACTGCAACAGATGGTTAAATGTCTTCCAGGCCTGAGGAGTCGCACATAGGAGAAAATAGAAAACAATCCAAGTCGTGTGATGATGATCTGCAGTGGGGGTAGTAGCCTTGTGGAAGGAGCGACGCTTGTGAAGGCAGGAAACAGAGGCTGCCAGATTGGTGGAGAGCCGATTGATGGCTTGGACTTAGCACTGTGGGGAACGAAGTACTGAGTGCTCCAAGGTTATGTTGAAACCACTCTGAAAACAGAGCTGTGACCTAAGAGGCCAGGTCTCCAATTAACCATTGCTATGGAGTGACTTCTTTGCCCAGACCCATAGAGGGTAGAGAGGGCAGCCTGCAGTAGGGAGACTCCCTGCTCTCTGTAGAGCAAAGAGGGATGTTGTTTGGGCAAAGAGACTGCTCACAGAGATGAGGGACCACAAAGGCATGATGCAACTGAGGGGCAGAGTGGAAAGAGCAGGCTGTATGGGCCATGGACCCAGGAGAAGGTGGAGCTCCTGTGGGCAGTGGCTCTCAGGGAAGGTCTTCTGGAGGAGAGAGCCCTGATGGCCCTG